GATAAAGTTTGCTAGTTTCTTGTTGCCATGAGAGTACAGAAGACCGGTCTTTGAAGGCCTAGCAGCAGCATTCATGGTGATATTCGGAATCAGCATCGTCGACTACCTATAGTCCATTCGGTTTCGTTGAAAGAGCGATTTATCAGTTGGGGTACTTCCCTCGTCAGTGGAAATGAATTTAACGCGTTTTGGCTAGAAATGAAATTTGAAAAACGCGTTTCATTTTTAAAATTTATAAGATCGTTTCTTTGACATGTAAAATTGATTTCGCAGACTGAAGTCGCGAAATTAGGCATTTCTATAACAAATAATGAGTGGAAAACGCGTTTTTAATGCAATGCAGCGTGACAAACGCGAGATTGGCTCAAGAATCGCGAAAAGGCCAATTATTCTGTAAAAACGCTAGAAAACGCTTTAGCTTTAAAGTATCGCGTGAAACTCTGTTTACAAAAAATTTAGCGTGTTTAGTGCAACCTATGATTACGTTAAATGTGATTCTCGAGCTTTTTTTTTCAAAAGAATTTCTCGGGGTAAGCTTTTCGTAACCAGAGTTTCGTGCGATATTTTGAAGCTAAAATCGCGTTAAAAGGAATTTTCAAAACATATAGGTGACTGACTGAGCTGTACAGCTTGTTCCATATCTATTGAACTATGAATATAAGACAAGTTAAAACCGATAAAAAAGGAACGGATATTCAAAGCGATATATGTAAACCTTTTAGCTGAACTTATTTTCTGTTTTCTCTTACTGTAGAAGCTAATATTAAATGATCCTGTTCTTCGGACACGAAAATAAATGAGCCCGGAAAAAAGAGAGAATTGATCCCGGTTGCTTTAATTAACCAAAAAATGATGGAAATGAGCCCGGTTCAAAAAATAAAATATTTATCTACACAAAAGAGAGAAATGGCCCGATAATTTAGATTTTTAGTATAAAAAGCGAGAAATGAGCCCGGTAATTTCGATTTGTTAAATATATAAAAAACTAATCAGTTTAAGAGCATCCTTTTAAAATCAATCTTAGAAGCGCGTATATATAATCGTGATTAAAACTAAACATCAGTATGTAGTACATATATAACATTATTAATTTAACCGAAAAATAGCACGCAATTTAATAAGTACAAAATAATGTTTTTCTTAATCTTTTGTTAAAGTTGTTTTTACTGTTTTTGGTCTACCTTTTCCTTTTCTTTGATCAATTATTTGTGGAACAGTTTTAAAACCCTATATAATCATTAAACCGATTGTATGAACACATGAATAGTCCTTTTGACCAAAACGACATGTACAGTACCAAGAAGCCGTTATACGTGAAAAATCGACTAAATGCCCTGAATTAAACCAGCTAACATATTCATCATATGAATTCCATGATATTGTATAATACTGTTGAAGCCATATATTTGTATTCATTGTTGAATTTGTAGTTGGTATCACCATCACATGTGATATCAAATATGTTTGTTGATTAATATTAGACGCCTATGTAGGAACCCCTTGAAATAATGTTTTATATGTTGAAGCAGCATCATCAGATGATATCAAGCATAAGCCAATTGGATGAAAATGACGTTTATAATCTGATGTGCCAAATATGAGTATTGGTAAATATTCCATGTGACTTTGTACGTACAATCGACAGCCAACACTGAAGAACATTTGGTAGTTGATAATAGTTAACGAGTGATGATACACACAAATATATTATCAATATCTTTTACTTCATAAAATGGTACAAAAACCTGATGCAATTGGTCAGCTGGTGGACAATTAATTCTTTCCTTACACCATAATTGTAAATCATCAACAGAAATAATCTGTGTACGGGTTTGCTGACGTGTATATTGTACCACATTTTTAATTTTTGTATCAATTGTTAAATTAGGATGCAATACTGATACAGCTTTACGAATCTGATCTTGTGTTAAACCTGTATGTGTCATTTCTTGCACAGCAGTACGAATTGGTGATAAGACGATTATTTTCTTGTCTTTGACTATGATCATGTAATTATGATCATGTGACTTCTAATTATGCAACAAGGGAGAGTTATAGTTATCTATAGTTCATTAAAAAAAGTAACTATTTGCAAAGTGCTTTAAAAAAACATTTAAATCATCAAACAACGTGCTGAACACTTTTTCTTACAAGCAATTAAGTTTTTTTCGTTCATCACCGCTCGATTTATCGAAAATAAAAGCTACTCACTTAGCGTCTCTTATAAAAATATGAGACTTAAATATGAAGACTTTGTAGTACACCACTTGTCCATAGTGGGTGTTTTTCCATAGAGCAGGTGGACGTCTTGTTTTATGAGTTAAAAAATGACTATTTTTGCATAATACTGTCTTATTCTGAGTCAAATTTTAATAGAAAAAAAATGTCAAATTCGAGGAAAATTTTTTCTGATGAAAAATGCCTGAGGAGGACGGGATCCTTAATCTAAATTTTTGTCAAACAATTTTTTTATCCGTAAAAGTATTAAGTGGTTCATCATTCGATGCAATTTTTCACGCTGATTCCGAATATCACGTTATTTCTTGAATAAAATGTTCTTTGATTGAGAAAAGTGTAAAATACCTGGAAAACCTAGATCTCGGTCTTGGCGAAAAACTGCGTAAAACTGCTATCATCACAAATCCAGGATATGTCATTGCACATTCTAAGAAATTTTCATCGAATTTGGAGCTTCGGAAAATCTCGGAAACTCATTACACCGAACACAGTTCTCGGAAAAAACGCCTCGTTCGGGAAAAAACTCCTTTGCTAAAAGACTTAATCTCAGACGAACTTCTTTTTAACCAACAGATAGCTAGAAGCGTTTTGATTCCAAATAGCACGCTTCGAAAATTTAAGGTAATTCAGTTCAATAAAAAATTGATTTTACATAGGCGCCATTGCACGAGAAAAACGCCTGCTTACCACAGAAGCATGCTCAACGATCATCTCAGATTTTTCACTAAGTAGTCTCATCGTGCAGAGCATGTTCGAAAACCTACTAGTCCAAATTTTTAACCTTATCGGACCGTAGAGGTACAGCAAGAGTCAAAAACAAATTCCACTTGAAGTTTGAATTCTGTGCATCTCAGGTAAAAATGGGTTATTTCACCTAATATGGGTTTTCACAAGGTTTTTGAAACTTAATTGAAAAACAATTGTTGCCACGAGATTCAACGTGGTCGATTACCTATGTTTCCGTTCGTTTTCCGAATTACCACACCTAAGGAGGTATCGATCCTGGGTACAACAAACACCAAAATCACATAAATGTTTATCACGAGCTCTTATTACTCATCTGATATATATCTGAGCTCTCATATACAGTATCTGATATTGGCATGTTTGAAATTCTCCTAAATCATATGCCGTGCGTCTTTCACTGTGCATATATCCTTCTAATGATGGCTACAACATTTGGACAAAAGACCACGTGTTCCTGTTGTAAACATGCAGTTTAACCAATTAAGCAATGAGAATAGCTTCCAGAGATGATGCTGCAATTCTTTTTCTAGTCATCAAACAGTCTGATTGTTCTAGAACGGTTTCATAAACAACTTTTGTTGTCGAACTGATTTCTTCACAGTTAATCATTCGATATACAGTAGGCATACACCACCGTAACCGTAAATAACCGCTTTACGTAACATAACGATGTTCGGCGGTTAGTTTTGAAGTTGTGCACT